CTGACTTACGTAAGCTCCACACTCTACCCCAATCATGTAGATCAGATGTATTTATTAGTGGCAGAGGGCAGAGCAGGTAGGCTACATATGGAGATCAACAGAGAGACTATTATGACAATTGGGTGGGAAATGGCTTGAAGCAGAGATGAAGCGTTTCCCTGGGTGGAGAGTGGTTGCATCCTGCACACATTCAGAAGGAAGGGCCAGCAGTATTTATTCATGGTTTGAATGTGGGCTATGAGAAAATGGAGAGGAATGACTGTTAGAAGTTCGCTCTGGACTTCTGAAACTTTGGGAGGTCACTGTTAACCGAGATGGGGAAGACCATAGCACACTGGTTTGGGGGTACCTAGAACATTAGTTGTAGGTGTGCGAAATTTGTGTCTTGGGTGTGTTGAGTAGGATATGGATATACAGTCTGGATTTTGGGGCATGGCTAGCTTGGAGGTGTAAAATGGGCAGAAGTCAGTATCTCACGACCATCCGACTGCTAAGATCACCAGGGAGTGAGAGGAGAGCATGGAGGGAAGATGTCCATGGAATCTACATTTGGATGTTTGAGACTGAAAGGTTGAATGGTAGGACTCTCCATCCTGAAGTAAAGAACAGAGAGAATTTTCAAAGGTGAGCCTGCTTGGCTTTGTCCCTGCTACCAAGGAGTCCAGGCAGGCGAGGAAGACGAAGTTCTACTGCTTTTCTGAGAACACTGGTTCCCTTGGCAGGAGAGAGGTTGCTCCTAGGGGCTGCAGGAGAATGGAAGGAAAGGGGCAGCAAGGAGTGAATACTCTCCTTCCAAAGACTCTTGATGTGAAGTAAAGCAAGGATAGATGTGGAATGCAGGAAATGTTCAATTTTTACCATGGCACATATTACAGAATGCCTGAAAATTATAGGCAAAAAGGCCAGGGAGATGGCTCAACAGGCAAAGTGCTCTCTGTTGTTTATAACAGGGATAAATAAGAATCTGGGAAACAATAGGCTAATGGATGTTTATTTGGAGAGAAATCACTTAAACCAGAAACAGATGAAGGATGCCTCCGGATGCTGTCTGTCTCTGACCAGGAAGCAAGAGAGCGAGCTAGGGTCCAGGACCCCAGTCCTAGTCTCCCCAGGTCACACCTGCACCTGTTCCCATGCTCCGATGGGTGTGGTCAGTGCAACAGGTGCTGGCGGGGTGAATATCTCACTACAGTTGTTCCAATCCCAAGAACCTATACAGCTGTGTGCATCTGTAATCCCAGTGTTCCTATGGGAGACAAAGGTAGAAGGGTCCTGGAAGCTCAAGGGCAGAGCAACAAACAACAAAGACCCTGCTTCAAACAAGGTGGAAGGTGGGGACTGACACCTGAGGCTGTCCTCCGAGTTCCATACATGCTCAGTGAATCCATGCATGTCCACTCAGATGCACACACAAAAGACAGATGATTCATTAGAGAGGGGAAATAGAGAGAGGACAGTTACTGAATCAGCATCCCTCAATTGAAGAAGATGGGATTCGCACACACAGAGAGGTTAATATCAGCTGAGAACTGAGAGGTTGTTGCAAGTGTCAGGAAGCGAAGAAGAGAGCCGGTACCCTGACACAGGTGGATAAGCAGATGGAACATGCGGGTACATGCAGGGACACAGGTAGGTAAGTAGAGAGCCTGCATCCTGACACAGGTAGGTAGGTAAGTAGATGGGGCATGTATGCAGGCACATGCAGGAGGCAGAGTGTCCAGGAAGGGGGTGTGTTCGGTTCTTTTCTGCTTGCTTTGTCTCAGGAATGAAAGGAGTAGGGCACACGCAGTAACACACAGTGGCTTGATGAAGGCGGACGTGTAGCGTGACGTGGACCTCTTAATAGAGTAAGAGAGTGGAGAAGGAAGCATAGTGGCCCCTCTGTAATTCAATTCAGGAAGCTAATTGATTATAAAGCAAGTGGTGTTTCAGACTTCTAACGAGTACTATTCTGTAGGTGGGGGATAAGGAATCCCATATTAATGCAGAGTTAGACTATGTGAGGCTAAAGCAACAAAACCCTCACTTTTAACCAACACTGGAGTTTGGAATCCAACACTCTGCACCAGGGTCTCATAAAGAGCACTGAAGAAAGTTAACAGATTTGCCTCACGCTTGGGTCAGTTGTTTCAAAGAGCCCTCTGGGATTCATAAAACAGGTGACCTCCAGAACAGTACTGTGTTGGTCAGCCACTTTTAAAGGGCAAAGCTGTATTACATTAACGAACGAGAACTGATTTTTAATATCCAGTAATCTGATGAAGGTTTGATCCTTAAAATAGATCCATGGGCTGCTGATGAAGTGAGATGACTTGGTGGGTTAAGGTACCGGCACCAAGCCTGCGGGTTTGAGTTTAATTCCCAGAATCTACAGGGTTGAAGGAGAGAACGGACTCCTACTGGTTGTCCTCAGATCTCCACATGCACGTTATGGCCTATACATGCCCACACATGTATATGTGCATGCAAAAGAAAATAAATAAATATGCTTAAAAAGAGAGTTCAGTTCCTGATACATGGTGAACCCAATGTTATCTTGTCCCCCCCCTCTAAGACAGGGTTTCTCTGTGTAGCCCTAACTGTCTTGGAACTAGCTCTAGACCAGAACTAGCTCAGATCCACCCGCCTCTGCCTCCTAAGAGCTGGGATTAAAGGTAAGTGTCTCCACTGTTTTGGTAGAAGTATGCTTTTATTCAGTTTGTCTTTTATTTGAATTGACATGTTTATTAAACAAGGAATTTGTTCTGAGTATAAAAACCAACCACCAATAATGCGTACCCTTTAAAAACCACTATTACAGGACTAATAGTTTTGATGCTTTTGTTGTTGAGACAAAAGAAACTTCAACATAAAATTATCAACATGTAGCTAAAACATAGTGAAAATGGCCTACTATAAAATGAAACATTCATTGCTTTTTTTATTGCTCAATGTAAAAGGGAAATATCTGTCATTCATTGGAAACTTTTATAGGTCTGAGTGTTACAGAATTTTAAAGCAGTAATAACTTAACATGCGGTCCACCCCTCAATTTTTACAGGTGACAGTAAATTTTTCAAGGAGTCTCAATTATTAGTGGCATAGAACCCAAGCCCCACTTTCTTGGCTCTATACTACTTTTAAATCATGGTGTCATTTAAATTTCTAACTTAAAAACTTGCAGGCATTTGAGATAGCCCAGCAGGGACAGAGACAGACACTTGTTTTTGCAAGACTGGTGACCTGAGTGTGATCCCCAGAGTCCACATAAAAGGGGAAGGAGAGAACCTACTCCACAAAGTGATTTCTTACTTCCATACTCTGGTCCTGTCCTGTCAGGCACCCCTGTCGCGTCCCCCCCCACACACCATTACCATAGGTAACCTAAAAGTCTCAACTGTCTTTATATACTTAGGTTTACTTATATACTTAGTATATAAAAACTTAAGTCTATATACTTAGGGTTTTGTGTTTTTGTTTGTTTGTTTACATTTCTAGGTTATGGGATCAACAGTTTTTCCATATTGAATCTCAACTGTCTTTATATACTTAGGTTTACTTATATACTTAGTATATAAAAACTTAAGTCTATATACTTAGGGTTTTGTGTTTTTGTTTGTTTGTTTACATTTCTAGGTTATGGGATCAACAGTTTTTCTATATTGAATCTCAACTGTCTTTATATACTTAGGTTTACTTATATACTTAGTATATAAAAACTTAAGTCTATATACTTAGGGTTTTGTGTTTTTCCATATTGAAGTTTAGGGTGGAATTCTCTTCTTTTTTCCATAGTCAATTCTGTTATATATCATGAATTCTATATTTACCCATCTTCCTTGACATCAAAACTTAATGCTTAACTTCTATCAATAGCAGTAACACAAAATCACCAGGGAAAACTTTCTCCAATTTAGACACAGAATGTGATTTCCATCAATAGCCTTTTGGACTTACTTATTTTACGGATATGAACATTTTGCCTTGCATGCATGTCTGTGCACCATGTGATATGCCCGGTGTCCTTGGAGGGTGTCAGATCCCCTGGAATTGGAGTTATAGATGGTTGTTGGCCCACCAAATGGATGCTGGAAACGGAACTTTAGTCCTCTGAAAGAGCAGCCAGTGCTCTTAACCACTGAGCCATCTCTCCTGTCCCTCAATATCATTTTGGAATTAGGTATAAAGGCATGGTTTGAGGATTCGTAATTATTATTATCATTTTTTAAAAGTTTTGTTTCCTGCCCTTCCCTATGATGACCAAAGGTTTCTATAAGACAGAGAGAAAAGAGAGATTTTTAACCACAGGAAAAAAACAAACCAAACCAAACCAAAAACAAGATTTGAGCAGAAATGAGAGCAGAGGTTTAGCAGAGTAAAAACTTACATTACTGCAGAAATTGATATATTAATTCCAGGGACTATTCAGGGTTAGGCAAAGTAAAGGTACTGCAGACACACAACGACTATTACCTTCATTTTAAAAACAGACATAAAATACCTACTAGGTAAAAAGCCTGCGGAGGCGTTGAGAATAACAACGTAAGTGAGCTATGCTGAAGGGGCTGTCTCGTGGGGGCGTTAGGATGGGGAAAGGAAGGCATCTTGCGGGGGTTGGAGATGAGATTTTGCACAGGAAGTCTGATGAACCGAGTACATGGTGGACATTTAGAAGTAGAAAGATGTACTGGGTTCTACAGTACCAGAGCCTCTCCGACCAAAAGCGCCCAGCTCCGAGATGCAGGTCTACAGAAGCTCTCAGTCTGCCTCCAGCCTTCACTTCCCCACTGCTAGGCCCGGGGCATCGGAGGAGGCAGGTGAAGACTGCACCCGGCTGTACGGTCGTCATGGCAACCAGAAGTTCCGCGGTCCTCTCTACCCTGCTTCCACTTCCCCGGGCCCGAGTTGGGCTCTAGTCTCGCGAGACTCGCTGGAGCGCAGAACCCAGCGGTGGTGATCTCACCCGAGACTGAAGGAGGGAGGAGAGGAGGGAGGGAGGGAAGGGATGGGGCGGGGAGAAGGGCCAGTGCAGCGCCGCCACCGCCGGCAACTTTGTGAGCGAGTTCAGTACGTGCGTGAGCGAGTGAGCGGAAAGTCAGTGCGGCGCCGAGTCCCGGGGGGAGGGCCGGGGAGGGGGCGGGTGGGCCTGGGAGGCCGCTCGCAGCGCGCCCATCGCCGCCGCCCCGGGCTCCCTTCCCGCGTCGTCCCTGCGCGGGTCCTCCAGTCCCCGTGGGCAGTTACCTGTCCCCTCCCCCGCGGCCACGCAACTCCCCCTACACCGTGCCCAGCGCGGGGGTTCGCAGCCGGGACGCTCCCTGGGCGCCGCGCGCTCGTTCCCGGGAGCCGGCGGGCTGGATGGGGGCTCGGGGGCGCGAGCTGGGGCCCGGGTGCCTGCACAATAGTTGATGCCCAGGGAACCGGTCCCTTTGGCCCCCGCGGCGCCCTGAGCGCGGCCGCTGTGGGTCCCTCTTGGAGCGGGGCTGGGGAGCCGCGTTGAACCCGCCCCCGCGGGCCCTGCGCCTGGCGCTCGGAGCCTCGGATCTCCGCAGAGGAGGCGGCGAGCGAGCGCGCCCCGACAGTCTGCACGCTTTCTCTTTCTCCCTAGGGAGAGCGCGCGGACGACGCGCCCCGGACGCGCGGCTGCACCGGGAAGCCCAGGCCAAGGGGTAAGTGGCCCCGGGGGCAGGGCTGGGAGTGGGGGGCGGGGCGGCACTGCTGACAGCCCCCTTTGCTGTCCCTGGCCGGGGATTCGCGGCCCCGGAGCAGGACGCTCGCAGCCGCTTAAAGTTTGATTTCCAATTCGGTGGCGTGCTGGGGATCGCGATCCCGGCGGGGGTGAGTCTGCGTTCCACCGCGCCCAGCGCTCGTGCACGTTCTCACCTCGGGATCCGGATCTGCTCCCCTAGAGGCCCGGAGCCCCGTGTCCCCGCCTGGTGGCTGTGCTCACCCTGCGGTTCTGGGCTCCTCGGAGTGACCTTTCCCCGTCCGGTTACCCGGTGAGCGCGTTGCAGGTGTGCTGGAGGGATCAAGGCCCCAGTGGGTTGGTTAATGGTGGGGAAGGGAGATCTTCATCTGCGGTCCCGAGGGTGTTAATTTCCTTTTTGGGGGATTCTGGGGACTGAATTCTGAGGATGCTCCAACCTGCGTTTCTTGGAGGAAGTAAACCGCCCGAGGATCGGAGAGGCATGAGGGTGCTGTTTAAAGAACTTTTTCTCCCTTTTCCTTGTCCAACTTCGCTCCTGACCTTAAAGGCAACTTGCCAGGATCATAAATCGCTCCGTGGCATTTTGACGTGGGCTTGCAGTCGCGTTGGGCAGGTTGAAATTTCATCGGGGCTCATCGTATCCAAAACCAGAGGCACGGGAAATAGCTAGCTTTCAAGGGAGGTGTGCTGGATTGTTGGCATTCCTCTTGGAAGGGGACGGGGAGCTAGCTCCTAGACTGCCTTGAGGCTTTATAGATTTGATTTTTCCTGACGGCTAGTTGAGAGGCAGCCTTCACTGAAATTTATACTGCCTGGTACACGATTACGTTTCTAAACTCGAGCCAGTGATGCGATGCAAATTTCAGAGGGAGGTGTCGACTTTCATCAGGTTCCAGGTCTATCTGGATGAACTGGGGTTGGCGTTTCCTCTATAAAGCTAGCCTTTCATGTTGAAACTCTGACTCAGAGTCTTAAAGCCATTCTTTTTTATACTGGTACTCTGTGGGAGTTAAGTGTCAACTTTCTCCTGTTTTCTCGAATGGAATATCTTCCAATGCAAAGGCTCCCTGGCTGAATGTTTTATACAGTCAGAACATTAAGTCTTACTGAATTGTTCCTGCAACCTCGTTTAGGGACAGGAATGATTTTCTGTATCTTGATTTAACGACTCTCCCATATCCCCTTTTCCTTTCCCTGAAAGCTGCAATTAAGCTGCCTTTACCAGGATGTGGAAAAAAAAAAAAAAAAAAAAAAAAAAAAAAAGCTGGTAGGATTATACAGAGCAGTTAAAAGGTTTTAGTAAAGCAGTTTAATGGTCACTGATGTGTCCAACTATGAGGTGACAACCCAGTTATTAACTAGAATATCATTACTAAAACATTTTCCCATGAAATAAATTATTGATATAAGGCATTATTAACAGTGTTTTAAAATGACTTGGGTGATGGTTTGAGCATAAATGGTTAGGGCAAAATAAGACATTTGGAGTGCTGACTTCCTTCTCTGTCACTGAAAGTTTTTTTTTCCACCTTTCTAAAGGACTTTTGAAATTGAGTATTACTAATTAGATTTCTTCACTCAACCCAGAGAACGGGTTTAGCAAGTGGCCAGAGACAGTCAGTAGGTGTAGCTGTTAGCTGCTCTTTGAGTTGGGAATCATAGCCCTGGGACCCTGAACTTTAGATGTGACAGTCAAGCAGTGATAGCTATGACAAAGTTCTGTGGAAGGCCGATTTGAACTCTTGGTGGTAATTCCTCAGCACGTCACTAAAAAGACATCCTGAGATTAGTTTAACTCTTCCCTTGACTCAGATTTTCAGCGGTATTTCCTGGCTTTTGTATTCATTTCGTGTTTGCTTTGAATTATGTGTGTAGTTGTGGTGTGGTCTTCTCAACTTATTTTTTTTTTTTTAAGCAACTTTTTAAAAGAGCTTCCTAATAACATTATTAACATGCTATAGATTGAGCATCTCTGTTGACTGAGTTATGGTGTGCATATGTTGTCTTTTCAGCTGCAGTTGGATTTTTAAATCAGTGACTTTAAATGTTCTCTTAGAGTACACCACCAGTGGAACCGAACTCAGATTCTTGGCTAACTTAGTGGAAGGTTTATTCGGTGAATGATAAGGCTTGGTGCCTCTTGCCTACCTGTATTTCTGTTATCAAAGGTCCAGTCATTGCACAAATGTATGGCTATCATGAAGGTTTTCAGGTTACTTCTTAGATTGGAGCATTTTGGTTCACTAGCCAGACTGGATGTTTACCAAGGAAGACAAACAGTGCCCCGCCCCGCCCTCCCAGGTGCTTGAACTCTGATGGAGCAAGCTGCCTTTGTTTCACATGCAGAAGCTGAACCTCAGAATCAGAAAAATAAGATAAAAATAAGATTTCTCTGTATTTGTAACCTTTTGAGCCTTGTGAGTCAAGCTTTACTGAGTGCCACCCCCAGAGAGGATTTCCCTTGGATTCTGGGACTCCAGCGGTGAGCATGCTCATTTGGCCTCAGGGGTCTGTTGGTCTTGGGGGCCATGGGTACTCCCATATCTTAGGGTGCGAAGATACGCCCATGTCCAGAGTTTTGCGTGTAAGACAGTTTTGGTTTTTCAACTTATTTAAAAGGTTTGAAATATTTGTCTTCGGAGGTGTGGATTTCAAATCCCTGCTCTACCACAGTCTGCCTGGGGTGATCTTAAAAAGAAGCTGGACCCCTTTCCAAGCTCACTGTCTTGGGCTGCAGCTTGAGCCTACAGTTGTGTGGCAGCTTTGCTACAGTATAAAAATACTTTGTAGCTAAAGTCTCTTTGGCAATTGCTTTTTTTTACCCTCTGGTGAGCAGTCTCGTGGGTGGCTGAAAGGAGTTGGAGAATAATGCCTTTGGTCCAGCTTTCCCAGTTTGCAAGTGAGGAGCTCCAAGCCCAGGGAGTTGACATGATTTGTAGGTTATAGAACTAGATATAGCCAGATTCAGGATAAGTGGCCTTCCTGATTTAAACGTACTCCCCTATTTCATCTTTTGTTCTTTCCCTACTGTGTTAAAGTTTGTTTACTTTTCTTTCTCATACTTAAATATTTAATGATTATTAAATAATTAAAGTAAGGGAAAGGCAACACTGAAGGAAGTATATTATGGTTGGAAAGCTATGAAAATGGCAAAGATGTCCTGTTTGGTACCTAAGCTTTGGAGGTACTCAGATAGTTTAGTTATGGGAAAAGGAATCCTAAGTTAAAGTTTCTGCCCAGTAGAGCATGGAGGCTTTATTATTTTTATTAGTAATAACAATTATTATTATTCTAAAGATTCCTTTATCATCTCAGTGTTCTGGTGCTCTTTAGAAAATTCAAAATTTTGCAGGTATTAAAGGCCTGCACCACCACCACCTGATCAAAGTCTGACTTTTCTAAAGAGTATATGGCTAGGTGGTGGTGGCACATGCCTTTAATTCCAACTCTCGGGAGGCAGTTGCAGGTGGATCTCTGTGAGCTCAAGGCCAGCCTGGTCTACAAGCCTAGTTCTAGGGCTGTTGCACAGAGAAAGCTTGTTTTGAAAAAGAAAGAAAAAAAAAAAAAAAAAAAAAAAAAAAAGAGAGAGAAAAAAGAAAGAACAAGAAAAGAAAAGCCAATTTCTCATAACTTGTAAAAGGAAGGAGTTGGACTTGCCTTGTTTCTGGAACAGTGGCAACTTAGTTTGTCAGCTGTCTCTGTGGAAGTGTGTGTGGGGGTGAAGGCCAGTCGGGTGGAGGGTTGCAGATGCAGCAGACACAGGTAGTAGGAGCCCTCTCTGGGAAGGGAAACCCAGTGGGTGTGATCTGAGTGTGGAGATAGGAAACATCCCTGCTGGCTGAAGACTGAAGTATAGGAGACGGGCTGCCCCTGTCCTGGGTGGAGGGGGAAAGTGTAATGTTATTGCAGGATTCACAGAGAGGCTGTGTTCTAGATCACTCAGCCCAAGCCAATCACTTCTGCCCTTTTACATGTTGGAAAGTTGGCCTCATGGCATTTGCTTTCAGTTGTATGCCTCATAATTAAAATCAAAACATACTTGTAAGGTAATTTTTCAGATGTATATTTAAGCAGGTTATTCCAAACTGATAGCTTTTTTTTTTTTTTTTTTTTTTTTTCTTTGATGAGTTCTGGTATGTAAGCCATGAGAAGGTAGGGATAATTCCTCTGGCTCCAGCTCTCTTGAACACAGGTCATTTGAGCAGGGGACAGAATGACACAGTTTAGTCTACTTTGTCACCAGGATGGTAAGGGAAAGCATCTGAGTGCATCTTTTGAGGGAGAGAAAACTTGGCCTTCTCATCGCATCCTTATCCATCTTTTCTATTTCCTCTGTCCAGATGGAATAAGAGGTTTTCTTTTGGGACAGGGTCTCACTGGGTCACCATGGATAACCGAACTGTCATGTAGACATGTAAATCAGGCTGCCCTTGGACTCACAGAATGAATGATTTCAGAAAGGCATGGAGGGGCATGAGGGTCTTGTTAGTGTGCGGTAAGGATGGTGAGGCTGTTGCTTCTCGTGGTCTGAGAGAACTTCCAGCTGATGGAATCTAGTTGGTTATTTCTCTCTCGAATTAGATTTGTAGGGTTCCTAACTTTAAGTTGTGGGAAACAGGCAGTTACATAACGTTAGATGGAGACTAAGCTTTTTGTAAAATGCTGGCTTGGAGATGGAGAGTTGCTGGGTTTTACAAAGGGGTCACTCAAACACTGCTGTGGCTGTAAGGACATCCAGCCACAGTTTCCTGGGGTCCCTTCTTATTTCCTCCATCTGAGCCCTTTACTGGACTGTGGACAGGTGTGGCCATTGATTGTTTTTCGTGGTTCATTCAGGGCCTTGCTTCCTTTTATAATGAGTTCTGACCTCGGAAGGTAGCTCTTGAGAAATTAAAAAGCAGAGGGCCATGTGCCAGCTGCTGTCTGGAACTCACCATCATCTGGGATCTCTCTCTTTCTCAC